TGTGTGTGTGTGTGTGTGCGCTCGTGTATATGCAGCACATTTCGTTTATCCATTCAACAAATGGATATTTGTTGATGGATATTTGGGTTGTTTCCACCTTTTGGCCATTGCCAATAATGCTGCTGTGAACATTGGTGTACAAGTATGAGAGTCCATCTCTCAGTTATTTTGGGTATATACCTAGAAGTGGGATTGCTGTATCATAGAGTAATTCTATGTTTAACTTTTTGAGGAACTGCCAAACTTTTTCCACAGTGGCTGCACCATTTTACATTCCCACCAGTGTTCCACTTTTTTCACATGCTTGCCAACACTTCTTATTTTCCACTTTTAGAAAAATAATAGCAATCTTAATGGGTGTGACGTAGGATCTCATTATAGTTTTGATTTGCGTTTCCCTGATGTCTAGTGATATTGAGCATCTTTTCTTGTGAGACTATTTTAATTATGGGCTTTTCCAGGCCATGTTGGTTATGAAAATTCTGGTCCTAAATCTGAGCAATTGTGAGCTTATGGTTAGGAATTCCCTAGCCATGGGGTGGATACACTTTATTTTTCTTCGGTTCAACCCAAAAACCCAGAGCCAAGCGCAAGACATCATCATTATTCCCACTGTCTCTTTCTTTAGTGAGTTTCTTTTTTTTTCCCTAGTTTACCCAGTTGGAGTCAACTGTCAGGTTTTCTGGTCTTCAATCTGACCTCTCATCTTAATGAGGCCCCAAACTTGATCTTCTTAAAGCACAGGCTCTAGGCCATCAGGTTTTTGTCATATGGCTCCAAGACAAATGGCAGCTTCAGAACTGCATTTGTCTCTCTGGGTTCCCACTTTCTAGTTGTTTATGGCTTCAGGGGATTTCAGCCATGCACTTATAGAATTTTTTTTAACTCGTAATTAGCACGTTTGGTGTTCTGATCTAGAGTTTTTTTTGACAGTAAGTTCACCATATTGCCAACACAGAAAACCTTGATTTGTTTTTCTTCTGTTAAAAGACAGAGATGATTGAGGTAAAGAAAATGCTAGCGGTCTGGATATGGTTCTCATAAATAAGGAAAGCAAACTAACAGGTACTAATTTCTAGAGCCAGTGATCAAATATGGATATACAGGGTTGATTTTTTATATATTTCATCCATCTTCATACAGTGTGCCCCCCCCCATTTTTATTATGTCTTAATAATTTGAGCTTCTTTCTGTAGCAGACTTACACATATGGATGACTATAAATTAACAAAAACAGATTGTAATGTGTTCTTTGTCTCTTTATAGGAAATAAGATGTTTATAAGGAATAGTCAAAAGGCAAGCAACTTAAAAGAAAATCTAGACTAAGCAAAGAGCTTGGGAAATGCTCAATTTTATTTTATATTGAATAGTTCTATTAATGAATACTTATCTCAGTTTGTTTTTATTTCAGCTTTGGCTAGATCGGAATCTAAGAAAGATGGAGGTTATAAAAATAATTGGAGCTTTGATCATGGAGAAGAAAGTGAAGGAGATACAGATAAAGAGTAAGAACTTTTTTTTTCCCCTCAGATATTTTATAAGAATGAAAGTTCCATTAGAAAAACAATTTATATTCCGTGGAAATATTTTTAAGAGTATGATATTCTTTACTTAAAATGTTGAACTCTTTTATAGTAGCATTAAGGAAAGGAAAAACAATTCTTTATTGGTAAATAATTTTGCTGTTGTATTTCTCCACTTTTTGAAATGTATATATATATGCATATAATACATGTAACCTTACAATTAAAAATCAACCATACTACAGAGGATTTCCAATTAAAGAAATTGTTTTTTTTTTTTTTTTCTTGTGAGGAAGATAGCTCTGAGCTAACATCCATGCCAATCCTCCTCTTTTTGCTGAGGAAGACCGGCCCTGAGCTAACATCTATTACCAATCCTCCTCCTTTTTTTTTTCCCTTTTTCTCCCCAAAGCCCCAGTAGGTAGTTGTATGTCATAGTTGCACATCCTTCTAGTTGCCGTATGTGGGACCTGCCTCAGCATGGCCGGGCAAGGGGTGTGTCGGTGCACGCCCAGGATCTGAACCCAGGCTTCCAGTAGCGGAGCGCACGCACTTAACCACTAAGCCACAGGGCTGGCCCCAGAAATTGTTCTTTTTTGAAAAAAAAATATGGCGTTCTGTTCAGACAGTGATTTGAAAAGCCACCGTTACCACGAGTAAGTGAACCTAGATTAAGACCCCTGAATTCTGTGTGAAAGTTTCAAGTCCTTTTCCCAGTTAACCCCCACCCATGCTACATCCATGTTAGATCATACTCCCACCAGAGAAAGCAGAAACGTGATAAATGATAAATACAGGTGTTGACCCAGACAGGAGTTAGGCAGAGTGTTCATTACACTTTGTTAATGTACTTGGAATGACTGCTGTGTAAAATTTTAAATAATGGTTTTAACAGAACCTTTTGCATGTTGTGAAATTTGTATTACAAATTCAGCGTAGCTATTAGTTTCTTGGTTTATTGATCTGGTTTTCTACTGGCCAGAAAAAACAGCAAATTCAGACACACACAAATATATACTCTAAGTTATACCAAAACTATGAATATTTTTAGAAATTTTATACAAGAAGTCATTCAGAGTATATTGGCTAAGTATTGTAGGTGCTTCCCTTCTGTCTGGGCAACAGCTCCATTCATCATTACCACTTTATGTGCCTTCACCTATGAGATGTTGAACTGAAGTGAAGTTTTATTTGAAGAAGAGCCTTGAACTGGTAAGTTTCTCATGTAAGATTGGTATTTTATGGTTTTCTTTCTTTCATTTCTTTTTTCTTTTTATTTCTGATTATTTTTTAATTTAAAACAATTTTTTGTTACAGATGTTTAGTATTTATGTAGTTTTGAAAAACTGGAATTAAATCTGAAATTTAGTTAGAAAGTATACCACACTTGAAACATTTTTATAAAATATTTGGAAGGAGAGAATTTTTAGCATTAAAAAAGTTGGGATGTATATAAACAGTAATAAAAAACATTACATTTTTATTATAAATAGCTAGGATCTTACTAAAAACAGCTTAGCAGAGTTGTCTTCAGAAGGGTGTATTTTGACTTTCTTTGTTAGAAGATTTGTCATGGTTATGTAAAAAATTTGTCATTTAAGATGTTAACCTGTCCTGTGTGTTTCATTTTTGAATTGTACTCTTGAGCTCATCATAAATGGATCCTCAGGGGCTTCAGCTTTTTGAACATGTTGAGATTAACATGAACTGTAAATGGATATATGAGTCTGGTCTTTTAGAATCTCAGGCCAGCGATTCTCAAGGAAGGGTTGATATTTCGAAGAGTGGTAGAGGTATAACTATTTTATTTGTGGTAATACTGTTGGGATTATTTTCTTTTCATTAGCTAAGATTTTCTTACCAGTTTGTTTCTTCTATTTTGTTTCTCTGTCCTTTTTTCCTAATTTTAAATTCAAAACAGAAAAGAAAAATGAGTGATTTTATGTATGAAATCCATAGTTAAGAAAACAAAAATTATGTATTCGTTTATGGCAGGGGTCAGTGAACGATGGTCCATGGATCCAGTTTGGCCCACTGTTGGTTTTATTAGTAGTTATATTGGAACACAGTCACACGTATAGTCTATGGCTGTTTCCATACTACAGTGGCAAAAATGATTAGTTGCTATAGAGACCATATGGCCTGCAAAGCCTAAAGTATTTACGCTCTGGGGCTTTAACAGAAAAAGCTTGCTGACCCCTGAATTAGGTGAGCAAAGAGGTTAAAACTTCTGAATTTAATGTATGGGTTGTAATTGTCACTTAAGGTTTTTTCCCTTTATTTTCTATGTAGTGAGGCAAATCTACTCAGTGTAGATGAAGATGAGGATACTGAAATCTCAAAAGGAAAAAAGGCAAGTGTTGCTTTTGTAAATTCTTTTTTAATTTTTAAGTTATACACCCGAAACTAATACTTTAAAAGAAGATTTTTATATTTTTTAATTGTAAGTCTCAACCAACCACTTCCCCATGCCAGAGGCAAATGGTGTTCCCAGTTTCTTGTTTATCCCATCAGAGATATTTTATGCATTACAAAGAAAATATATATTCTTGCCCCACCCCCTTATACTTACAAAGTTGGTAGCATACTGTACACACTCCTTCTAATCTTACTTTTAAAAATTAATATATCTTAGAGACCATCCATAAGAGGTCATTAAAAGCATTCTCACTCTTTTCATTTTTATTATGCAAGGGGAACATAATATTCCATTGTATGATGTACCATTTATATTATCCAGTACAACCATATTGAAGGATGTTTATGGCATTATCAACCTTTTTTCCCATTAAAATAATGTTGAATAAATTAGCCTTCTGTGTGGGTTATTTTGCACACATACAAGCATAAATGTAGGATGAATCCCTAGAGGTAGGGCTGCTATATCAGGACAGGTACATTTCTGATTTTGTTATACCTGATTTGCACTTCTTCCAGCAGTGTCTGAGCATGCCTGTTTCCCTACACTTTTGTCACGGTGTTATCAACCTTTTGATTTTTGCCAGTAAAAAATAGTATCTCGGTGTAGTCTTAATTTGCATTTCTTTTACTATGAATGAGGTTGAACCAGCCTTTTCATAACGTGTAGTCCATTTATTTCCTTTTTGGTAATTGTCAGTTAATATCCTTTGCCCATTTTTCTCTTTGGTCTTTAGAATATTATTGATTCATAAGAATTCTTTTTATATTGAGTCTGACACATTTTTTCACATTTTGACATCTCTGAAATCTATCTAGATACATCTTATAGTGATGACATGACATGGTTTAATTAAAAAATTTTTTGCACCTTATACATAACAATAATGATGCATCTTATAATGGTTTCTTAGGTTTAATGAAACTGGCTCATTGCCGTGATACTGGTTGCTAATATTTTAAGCCGGTTTTTTTACTAGTCTCCTGTCTTCACTTTTGGTGGTTTTATTGCCTTGGAGAAAATGTATTTTCTTATGTTGTCAAATATATCAGTTTTTCTGTTTTTTAATGGCTTTTGGATTTAGTGTCTTGGTTCCTACTGATGTTAACTTACTTATTTGCTCTGTCCTATTAGATAGATTAAATAGTTTCACAATACTATACAGTAAAAATTTTTTCGTTCTGTTTTTGGTGTTTGGTGGCACCACCAGGTATATTCCACTAGGAATGTATATTTAAATCACTGTGCTTTAAAGTCACTTGAAATTATTTATTCCTGGTTGGTAATTTTACCAGCTGGATGAATTAAGTTTATTTATTTAAGTTTTTTTGCATAATTATAAAACAAATCAAATTTTTTTAAAAAAAGCATTTCCTCAAAATAACAAATATTTACGTGGTTCCAAAGTCAAACCTACAAAGAAGTTTTATTCAGAAAAATGTAGCTTTTGTCCTGATTCCCTCTATCCCTCTCTCCTTCACCTACAGGCAACCTCTTTTGAAAATTATATGGTTTGGCCTTCCATTGTTATTTTTTTTCCTGATATAAGAATATACTGCCCTTCTTGGGGAAACCATCCACACTGTTTGGCACCTTGATTTTTTTTTACTTAACAGTATAGTCTATAGATCACTCCACAGCAAAGTGTTTGAGATCTTTATCATCTGTTTTATTGCCACACAGTACTCCAGTGAATGGAGGTACTGTAGATATTCAGTTGATCCCCTCGTGATGAGCACGTTTTTCCCAGTCTTTTGCTATCATAAGTAGTGCTTTATATCTTTATAATATATTTGTGGAATAGATTCCTAGAATTGCAGTTGCTATTTCAGAGGGTAGATTTACATGTAATTTTGTCAGATATTGCCAAATGCCTCATTCATGGGAGTTAGCATTTGCTAATAATATGTGAGAGTTCCTATTTCCTTCGGGAGTATGGGGTCAGACTTGAATTTTTGCCGGTCTGACATAGGACTCTCTTCACGTATTTTCTGTAATTATAGTTGAATGGTATTTTAGAGACTTTTAAATTTACTTTTTTTTTTAAGATTTTATTTATTTATTTATTTTCCCCCCAAAGCCCCAGTAGATAGTTGTCTGTCATAGCTGCACATCCTTCTAGTTGATGTATGTGGGATGTGGCCTCAGCATGGCCGGAGAAGCGGTGCGTCGGTTTGCGCCCAGGATCCGAAGCCAGGCCACCAGCAGCGGAGCGCGCGCACTTAACTGCTAAGCCACGGGGCCGGCCCTAAATTTACTTTTTTTCCTCTATCTTTGTGGATTTTTTTCCTTCCACAGCATCTCCATTTTGTCTTCATTTAGGGAATTTATAGAATTTAAAGTTTTTGTCTTAGTACTCTAAAGTTTTGTTTATAAAGTTACTCACACTGAAAAACTATAAGGTTTTTAACATTGCGGTTTTCTCTAGCTTTTATTTAACATCTCATTTCCTTAGAGTGCTGCAGTTATAGATGTACTGTAGGTCGATAAATAGTGAACTTTGTAGGGAAAAATAAAAAGTGTTTTCTGTCACTAACTTCTATGACATTGAAATTCAATTTTTGTGGGTTTTTTTTTTTTTTTGCTTGCACATGCCCCTAATTTTTAAAAAAATAAATGCCTTATTGCACGTGTTTTTCCTTGTTTTGCTGAGGAAGATTGGCCCTGAGCTAACATCGGCTGCCAATCTTCCTCTTTTTGCTGAGGAAGACTGGCCCTGGGCTAATATCTGTGCCCATCTTCCTCCAGTTTATATGGGACGCTGCCACAGCATGGCTTGACAAGCAGTGTGTTGGTGCGCACCCGGGATCCGAACCTGAGCTGCCAGCAGCGGAGCGTGCGCAGTTAACAGCTACGTCACGGGGCTGGCCCCCACCCTGTGCCTTTTAATGGCAGCCTTTAGTCCGTTGACTTTTAAAGTAGCAATTGACAAGTATGTACTTACTGCCATTTTTAAATTTTTTTTTCTCGGTGTTTTAGTAGTAGTTCTCTGTTCTTTTCTTCTTCTCGTGCTCTCTTCCCTTGTGGTTTGATGGCTTTCTTTAGTATTATGTTTGGGTTCCTTTCTCTTAGTTTTTTGTGTATTTATTATAGGTTTTGTGTATTATTATAGGTTTGTGATTACCGTGTGGTTCATATACAGTAACCTACATGTATAGCAATCTATATTAAGTTGATAGTCTCTTTAGTTTGACCTCTCTCTGAAAGCTCTACTCTTTAACTTCCCTCCTCCCACACTTTTTGTTTTTGATATCATATCTAACCTCTTTTTTGTGCGTTTGTATCCATTACCCTCTTATGTTGGAAGTAGATAATTTTTCCTATTTGTGGTCTTCTCTTTCCCCCTTAAAGAAGTCCCTTTAGCATTTCTTGTAGTACTAGTTTTCTTTCTTTCTTTTTTTTTTTGTGAAGAAGATCGGCCCTTAGCTAACATCTGCCAATCCTCCTTTTTTTTTTTTTTTTGCTGAGGAAGACTGGCCCTGGGCTAACATCCATGCCCATCTTCCTC